AAGAAAAGATAGTTATCAAAAGTACAGACAACAATATAATTCATCATCTTTAATAATATATATACTTGATATGTTTAGGGATAGGGCATCAAACTCTCTTGGATGCTTCTGCACAACCCCATTGCAGCTTTAGTGACAAAAGGTGGTCTTATCAAGAGTGGTTGTGCACAAAAGCAATTTTGTGAGTATATTTATCCAAGGGATGATGGATGAATGATGATGCAATGTATAGACCAGATGTTATGAGAGAAATATTATCTATAATTATCCACCAAGTTTATTTAACCAGATGCAAGTATATACTTCAGATACATCGAGATAGAAGAGAGAATTAACGCACGTACTCTTGTATTGTGCAATAAACAAGTCCCATAGTAGCACTGCCTCTCTCCTATATATACCACATGATCCTCAAATGCAAATCCAATCAACACAATTCTCACGTGTGCTTGATGTTCTCAACTATGTAGGAATATTTCAAAATCTCCAAACTGTTGCCCTATTTCCGCATTGTTGTATAGTTCAGAACAATCGGCTCGCATGTAGGCGTGTTGATATATGTATGGTCCACTAGACTCTCTCTCACACCTACCGGGGGGAGGGGGAACTAGAGAGAGAGAGAGGGAGAGGGGGGGAGAGAGAGAGAGAGAGAGAGAGAGAGAGAGAGAGAGAGAGAGAGAGAGAGAGAGAGAGAGAGAGGAATATGGTGCATGCATGCGCTGTAGGCATGATCACATCACATGCATGTGATGAGGCATGCTTTTATATATGGGGAAATATACATGTAGTCCATGTGCACATAGCTAAGTGTGTTGAAATATAAATTTCCAAAGCTTAATCATGCAAGTTGAAGGCTCACCCATAAACACCATAAGGAAACCCTTGTTGGAGAGCATAATGAGCTGGGAACGTGGCAGCAGAAGCAAAAGCTGTTCCCATCCCACCTTGAAGGCCTGCAGGCCCATAAGATTTCATCGCCCTGAAGCCCCTGCCTCCTCCTAAAATCACACCACAATTAATTAGAAAACACCTAATTAATTAATGCGATAATTATAGTTAATTAACACCAGAGTTATGAGTACTTGAACTGAGTGCCTTTAGAAGAAAGAATGCTTCAACGTGCAAGAACATACAATGCACTTTCTGAAAAGGGAGAGGTGGTTCTTTTGAGATAACTCTTCCTGAACTTAAGTTTTATTTATAAACTAGTTACTGTATATCTGATTACGAACTAGATATTAGAACAATGTTCAAGCCTGTGAAAATATAAATGTTGCAGCTTGCTAGCTCTTATTTTAGAGCTCATTCTCATAAGTCTATTTTTACCAAAATAGATGATTAATTGATCAACATGGGAAATAAACTAGCTCCTTAAAAAATATGGGTAATAAGCTAAAGACGTACGTATGATTAATTAACAGGAAAAAATGAATTGAAATGAATGTTTGTGGTATAAATCTAGTGGTATTGCTCGAAAAACTTCGTCAGATCAAATATATAATAATGATGATCTAAAGACCCAACTTATCACAAGCATAGCAGGAATATATGAAAATATCATATTATTGATGGGGGGGGAAAAAGAAAATTTTCAGCTTACCATATTGAGGACTCGCGGGTCTAGATCTCTGAACTCCAAGAGAAGCAAGATTACAATTAGCCCTCCTTCCATCGATCACCGGTGAAGGATCAACACAAGCTTTTGTTGCAGCCTCAGCCTCCCTAAAGGTAACCTAGTTGCTCAAAAACCAAACAAGGTTAAAAAAATATCAAAATTTTCACATAAAATAAAAGGATAACAAACTAATGAACTAATTTAAGTAAGATCATATATAAAAACTTACAAATCCATATCCTTTAGATCTCCCAGTGATCTTATCAGAGATAACCACAGCCTCCAAGATCTCACCAAATTGCTCAAAATATTTCTTCATGGTCTCCTTCTTTGTCTCCCAAGCTAAGCCTCCAACAAAAACCTTGGTATAAGTTGTGTCACCAAATTGGGCACCTCCCATATTAACTTCACAGAATTGTCTAGGTGATCAAATACAAAGAAAAATTCACAAAAAAAAGAGAGTAGAGATTAGGGGGAGAGAGAGAGAGAGAGGGAGAGAGAGAGAGAGTGATGGAGGGAAGAAAAGCAGAAGGTAGGAAAGGGAAAGGCCAATAACATTGGTTGTAGGGACACATGACATTGTATATATGCATGCTTCCCTTTGTCTGAGGTTAATTGATGTTAATCATCATGTTTTTTCTGTGAACTAATCATGATAATTGATTAATTAACACATTAATACTGGATCAGATGCGAGAGTGAAATGACTATTTCACCCTTTGAATATGTAAGGATTTTCGATGATGACCGCAGGTTACGTAAGGTCAGTAGGTGGCAAAAACGGAACGGGAAATTGGTAATGGATAGGGGAACACGTACGTGGGATGTAATTATATACATATGATATTAATTTTCAGGTTATTTTTTTTTTTTTTTTGTTGAATTATGCGTATTAATTGAACATTGACTAGAAAGATACAGGACAAGCCCTCCATTGTTGAATCGTTTGAATCATGCTAATGGTCAAATTATTCAAAGGTAAGATCACGATCCATGATTTAATTTGCAACATTAAACTAGCTATCAAAAGATCTCTTTCTAACATAAATATCATATGACGAAAAATAATTAAGGTGACAACTAGAGATAATGGAGATATAATTCCATTTGCGCATCATCAGACTTAAAAAGCAATTAAGCTACTAATTAATTACTTTATTACAGGAGTTTATCCGCAATCAACCATGTAGTATTTGAGGATCAGAGATGGATTAATACATGACAAATCAGCGGAATATAGTTTGGATCAACTTCAACTGTCTCATTTTGTCTTTTACCAAATGAGAGAATTGTCAGCAACTTAATTTGAGTCCGACATGGAGCCCAACTACGCAGGGGGTGCACAAATCCTGAGATTAGTTTGCACCCTGTGTATATATATCATGGTAAAGTAATTTTTTTAAAACAATTCATAGAAAAATATTATAGTTTATTTATTTAGGGAAATAGTTTTGTAGGCTTTCATGAAACTCTCATGAATTTTAAATTTCCATACGGTCAGCTAAATAAGGTTTCGCATTCACATATAACTCCTCGAAAGTCAATTTGGCTCATTTTGAAATAGCACCAAAAACTTTTTCAAATGTCATATAATACAAAAAGAAATTGTCAAATATGACGAGATGGATTGATCACTTCAGCATTTTTCTTAATCAATATTTTTTTCTTTGTAGAATCTAATTTATGTAAGAATAGGTAGTCTTAGGTTTCAGAATAGAACTCTAATTGCACTCTCTACTACAGGGAATTCTTATCTTATAATTTCAGCCTTGTGGAAAGAAATCTTATCGTATAAATATGCGTCTCACTTGGTGCATGTTGTATCTGTTTCAGAACACGGAAAATAAAGACCAAAGATTTTTCTTTTTTCTTTCCTTTTTCCTTTTTTTTTTGGGAAATTAGGGCTGAGAGATGACTTGTAATCCCGTCAAGGCCGTACCTGTAGAATTGGCAGAAAGTTCGGGTTTCAGCAGAATTGGGTGGCGGTCGACCGGCCCGGTCGACCGCATTCGTGCACAGAAGTTATTGGGCTTCAGGATTGGTGGCGGTCGACCGATCCGATCGACCGAATCTATGGGCGGTCGACCGTGTCGGTCGACCGACGACCTCTCTGGACATTGGGTTTGCTGCTGGATGGAGGGCGGTCGACCGGGCCGGTTGACCGCGATGGATCGCGGTCGACCGTACCGGTCGACCGCCGTTAACCCTATTTTGTTCCTCTTGATTTCTAATAGTGAAAACTCCCCCTCCTTGCCTCGTGGACGTAGGCATCTTGCCGAACCACGTAAAACTGGTGTTTGATTGTTTGTGCTATTGATTTGGTGTGTTGGTTTATCTTTTCTCGGCGATTGGTTTGGATTCTCGAGGCGCAACAATTGGTATCAGAGCTCCGAGCTACGCTTGGGCTATTTTGGAGGAGTAGATCGCTTTGGAAGTTCACTAGGGCTTCCGTTTGGTGATAAAGGTGGGATCTTTTCAGTAAAAATCTCGTCTTTTTTCAATTTGGATCTATTTCTCGTTTGTTTCCGCATTGGTTTGGTGGTGTTTTGAGATATATGGCTGAAAAAGATAAAAGTGGGGAGGGTTCTTCTGGTGTGAAAGCCGTCCAAAGTTTGAATATACATCCTATGAAAATAGATCTGGAAAAGTTCAACGGCACAAATAATTTTGGACTTTGGCGATGCGAAGTCATGGATGCGCTAAATGCGTAAAATTTGGAAGATACATTGGAGTTGGACGGGAAACCGGCCGACATTGATGAAAAGGTTTGGAATAAAATGAATAGAATGGCGTGTGGTGTGATTAGGTCTTGCCTTACCCAAGACCTTAAATATGATGTGATGAATGAAACTTCGGCAAAGAAGATTTGGGAGGTCCTAGAGGGCAAATATTTGACGAAGAGCATCGAAAATCGTTTGCATTTGAAGAGGAGGCTTTATCGCTTCCAATTGAAGAAGGGGACATTCATTAGTGATCACATGAACCACTACACGAAGCTACTTGCAGATTTAGCGAATGTAGATGTCATTGTTGAAGACGAGGACAAGGCATTGCTGTTATTGAGTTCCTTGCCCGACGAGGAATATGAGACCTTCGTCCTCACTCTTATTAATGGGAAGGCATCTCTTTCGTATAGTGAGGTCACCGCAGCCCTTGTGAATTATCAACTTCGAAAGAAGGACAAGGAGACTTCCATCGAGCCGGTTGCGGGGGCATTGGTTGCAAGAGCTAAAAGTCTAAACCGTGGAAGAAGGTCGCAGTCTAGAGGAGGGCATCCTGCAGTTGGTAGGAATCAGTGTGCCTTTTGTAGAGATGATGGACATTGGAAAGCCGAATGCCCAAAATTGCAAGCTGTGAAGAATAAAGGGAAAGCTATTCAAGCTTCAGAGGTGAATATTGCCAAGGCTAGTGGCGATGTTTCAGATTCAGATTCTTCAGGCTATTCGTGCCCAGCTCTTCCGTCAGTTGATGTTGCCGACTCCACCGAGTGGATGTTGGATTCTGGTGCTACTTACCACATATGCCCTAGAAGGGATTGGTTCTCCAGCTTTCAGGAGTTGGAAAGAGGGGATGCTGTTCTCATGGGTAATGATTACAGATGCCCTATTGGTGGTATTGGTACCGTTCGGATTCGGATGAGTGACGGGATGATCCGGGAGTTGGCTGATGTGAGGTTCGTTCCGCAACTGAGGAAGAACATCATTTCACTTGGGTTATTGAAGGCATCAGGCTATAGGGTGACCTTGGCGGATTCTCGCTTGAAGGTCACATCGGGGTCCATAATTATGATGAAGGGAGTCAGACGGAGTAACTTGTATTATCTGCTTGGGAGCACGGTAGTTGATAGGACGCTGACTACTTCTATGGCTAGACGGTGGCATTGTTTGGTGCTGGGATATATTGTTGGTTATACCGTGCACAAATTGTTGAGGAGTGCTATGACCCGCAGATTGAAGTCATGTGAGCACATTGGTATGAGCGAGAAGACCGAGGTGGAGTTCAGCACTTCTATCCATCGATCGAGGGGTCTTATTGGAAGTGTTCAGTCAGGCATTTGGGGGCTTTCCGAGGAGGCATCATCGGGAGGTAATCGTTATTTTGTTTCCTATGTTGGGGATTGTACTAGGCATATTTGGGTTGCAACCAAGTCCCGTTGGTATAAAGACCTAGTAGTCCGCAACAGTTGGAGGAGGTGTATGGGCAGAAAGGTTACCAGTCGTACTTATTCTAGTAGGAGTCCTTTCTTGCATTGGTGCCGAGCTCACGGCAGTTGGAGACACTTCAGAGGGAAGGAGACAGTGGGGCGACGTGATGAGATGGCGGATTTAGTGAGCCGTTCTTTTCTGGAGGAGGATCGGTATTGGTTGTCGAGCAGTAGATCTGGTATTCAGGCTTCGATAGGTTTGGATCATCTTATGAGGTTGCCGACTGTTGCGTATAGAGTTGTTAGATCTGGTGGAGCTGTTTCAGATTTTGGTTGGCGTCGGATATTGGGCTACCCAGCACTTGGTCACATCATTGATGTGAGATTGGATCCGATTGCGCATTTAGGATTCAGAGGCTTGTTCGGCTATCAGTGGGGAGCTTCTAAGTTTGGTCTGAGCAGGTTTGTCACTTTGGACTCTCGGCAGGTGGAGAGTATTGATCAGGTCAGAGGGATATCGCAGCGGGTGGAGGTTGATGCTACTCCACATTGGGTGAGGATTTCCTCACATACTCCAGGTCATTTTGTATTGGTTGGGATTCCAGCTGAGGTGGCACAGCGTGGGAGTCATTTATTTATGGGGGCAGATGATGAGGTGGTTGACTTGGATGCAGCTGGTGGATATTTTTTGGATACGGCCATTGTTTCACCTCAGGTGGAGGTGTTCGGATCGCTTCAGTTTGGGGTCGTTGATGATGCTATCAGCCGCAAGATGGATTGAGGGCCTTTGGAGGCCAAAGGTGAACTACGTGAAGGCTTGATTCCTTGGAGAGGATACGTAGGCAGTCAGTTTTCTGATGCAGCCGATTTGGTGAGCGACATCGACATTTAGGGTGAGTGTTCGCACTCCCATTTAGGTCTCAGCAAGTGAGGCATTTGGTGTAGTCGGTGTAGGCTCAGTTGTTTGGTGAGTAGACACAATTGGTTTGGGGTTGAGTGTTCGCACTCCCATTTGGATCTCGACGTGTTGTGATTGGAGTCCGTTGTCATGAGTCCGTTGCCATGGCATACTGGATGCAGCAGTTGAGACATTGGTTTGTTCGGTGTCGGCTCGCAGTCGACCGGGCCGGTCGACCGCGATGGATCACGGTCGACCGTACCGGTCGACCGCCGCTGCGGTTTTGAGTTGGGCCTGCTTTTAGATCCGTTTCGTTTTGAATTTGTATAAATACCCTTTGGGTGTTTTTAGGGTTAAGTGCAAAGACGAATTTGAGCAGATTGAGAGAGTTTTCTTTGGGCTTCTATTCTAGGAGTAATTGGAGAGATTGAGAGTTGATTGTTGAGGGTTTATGAGAGATTTGTAACCCTAGTTTGTTCCTCTTGATTTCTAATAGTGAAAACTCCCCCCTCCTTGCCCCGTGGACGTAGGCATCTTTCCGAACCACGTAAAACTGGTGTTTGATTGTTTGTGCTATTGATTTGGTGTGTTGGTTTATCTTTTCTCGGCGATTGGTTTGGATTCTCAAGGCGCAACAGTACCTAGGAATTTCAGGGCCTAAGTCAAAATATTAGATAAGGCCTAAGTGACAACTCATGATAGATTTTATCTCATTCTTCTTACATTTTGAGCTGCAAGATTACTAATTAAAGTTTTATGTTCAATATTTTCTAACATATTATTTTCGATAAATAATATTGCTAAACCATTCATCTATCTTGTAACATGGTTGATCTTAAATAAGATTTTAATAATTTTAATTTTGAAAAACTTCTTTCAGCGGAAGCAACTATTACGGGTATAGTCAATATAGATTGTTTGGCAACGTAATAGATTATAATTCATCATTATTATCAAAATGACCATAAAAATTTTACTTGGTGGTGAGACGCCAAATGATATGAAAGAATTTATAAAATCATAAACAGTATATTCATCTCTTACTTTGTCAAACTATTAAATAATATAGTTAGGCTATTTGTTTTCTTTTATTTTTATCCCACTTATAATACTAGAACATTTTCTCATTGCTTTTGTACATAAACTTCTCAATACCGTGTATGGACACCACTTATAATACTAGAACATTTTCTCATTGCTTTTGTACATAAACTTCTCAATACCGTGTATGGACAAGATCTCTTTAATCTCTCTATATTTATTCATTGCTTTTGTACATAAACTTCTCAATACCGTGTATGGACAAGATCTCTTTAATCTCTCTATATTTAAAATTTGTCACGACTTTAGAACCCTTGATCAACAACTTCACCAATGCCTAACCACACATCCAATTTCTCACGGGCCTCGGCCTCACCTTCACTCACGTGAAATTAGGGCGGAGGTGCGGCCCACATGAAATCCGCGCATCTCTCTCAAGCTCACGTGAAGAGTCACATGCCGCCTTGTTCCCGTTCTAAACTCGCAACAACCCGCCGTCGTGGCTTCCATCTTAACCTCTCAAACTCGATCCCATCGCCAACCCTCTATTAACTCCGTCGCCGCGAACCCAACATCTGCATGCTCCATCCTCTATCTAGTGAGAACTTGATCAACCACTAAGCTGAGCTCTCTCGACTGGGCCCTACCCAGGATGAGGCCCAAGGAAGAGGCCTTGACTGCCTAAGGGCAGGGTCGGCCCTGAATCCTATTGATTATTTGTGCAATTATGGCCTGATTATACTTCAGTGTTGATTGACGTAACTCATTACAACCGTGTATTATTTATGATTATTATTTGTTTTTCCTTGTTCTTTATTTTTTTGTGTTATACTATTTTATTTTGCTTTATTTCTAACAATTGCCACTTAAACCTTTCTATTTACCTCCTCATGAAAAAGGATGAGCTCTCTTAATTATATAAGAGAATATTTGGCAAGTATGACGCTCATTATAAGTCACAAAAATGGATTATAATTTACTTTGAGATTTTTTTTATAAGTCGCTTATTTTAGCTTACAAAAAAAAAGGTTGTGCTACCTTGACTTATTTTTTGTTGGATTATATGTCATAATGTTTGACCGTGTAAAAGACAGTTATAACCCTCATCATTTCACAAAATTTCACTCCCCATATGTATCTCTATCATTTAGAGTCATGCCATTTTTTGTCATTTCAAAAAGAATAAAAGATTATAATACATTCATTTGCTAAACACTCTACTATTGAAAATAAATTATAATCCAATGAATTTAACATACATTATAGATCATAATTTAGATGGCTAAAGTATTGGAATATTGCTATATTTTATTAACTTTAAATACCAATTTAGTATATTTTCTTACTCAATGACGATTTAACTTATCTGGGTCATGGTGACAAAAAGGCCTATTTTTTAGTCAAAAAAATGTACGGTCAAATCACCTCACGTGCCTTGTCATGTGCATCTTACATGACCTAATTGGACTTACATGGTAAATGTTAAGGAGGATCATTAACAACCATTATAAAAAAAATCTAACTCTTTCTGCTTCTCTCTTTTCCCTCTATTCTCTATCCTCTATCATGTGAGGGAGAGAACTATTTTCCCACATTACAGAGATTCCTCTAACAAAATTTTAATCGCCCAACCGAAGTTTAATTCTACTAGTATGCCACACATGTTAGGACTCATGTTTATAAGCTTACTTTCTAATCTAGTTTTGATGATTTACAAATAATTTATAATTATGTTTTCTAGTAATTTTTTTCTCAAATGTACATTCAGGTTGAAAGGATTTATGCCGTAATGACGATATTTTGAATGAGGCCGACGCAATTGAAGTCCAAGATTCAAGATCAAGCTTCATGCACATCAACTTGGGTATATTAGTTTAAGGAATTATACTTCGTATGTTATGCTTAGAGCTCAATTCTTATACACACACGATATTTCTCGTTTTAGCGTAATATGAGTGTTTTTAAGAAAATATCGAACCTTTGAATTATTGACTTAACGTTAACATTTTATATCTTTTACAAAGTCTGTTAATCCATTCAAAAGAATCTCCAAATGTGTTGAAATCGTTTTGTCAAAATCAAGTGTTTAAATGAACTCGTATTTTTGAGATTTTGCAAAATGATGAGTTTTCATAAACGGGAAATGATATTTCAAAAATCTCTTTTCTAACATGTTTATATTCATGCATATAAATATTTTCCTAAGTTTCATAATTTTTAGAATTTATTTGATATTTTTAATACACCTTTAAAAATTAGATTTAGTGTTCAAAACTAGGTTGTGCACGTTTTTTGGTCGACCAACACTGTTCATCAGTCGACCGATGAACTGCTCTTCAATTGCTAAAAAATTTCTGCTCAGTCGACTGATCTCTATCAGTCGACTGAACAGTATTTTCAGTCGACCGATGGCTTGTATCAGTCGACCGATGAACTGCTCTGCAATTGCTAAAAAGTTTCTACTCAGTCAACCGATCTCTATCAGTCGACTGAATAGTATTTTCTATCGACCAATAGCTTGCATCAGTTGACCAATGGTTTTCCAGAATCAACCAACGGTCAACTCATCAATCTACTGAACAGTGCATCAGTCGACCGATAGCAGTATAACGACTAGTTTTTCCAGACTCGTTTTTTATGGGTTTTGGTTAGTTTGAGAGGCTATAAAAAGCCTTCAATTAGTAGACGTCTAAAAATATCTATAGATATCCGCACATAGCTCGAGACGAAGAGAAGACGATAAACGTCATCATCCGAGTCAAGAAAGATTACCTGGATGGCTCACACGCTTGTCGGTCAGCTCCAAGTACCCGCCACACTTGTCGGTCAGCTCCAAGTACCCGCCACGCTGGACGGTCAGATCCAAGTGTCGTAAAGAAGCTAACGAGCGTATGAAGCAAGTTAGTGAAGCATACAAGTCAATAGGACGACCAGATACGTAAAACGGCAGACAATACAAATCCTGAAAAATCGCAAAGTGCCAAAGAGTTCAGCCAATGCCAAATTTCCCACGCCAACGCAGGACAGCGGTAGCTGGCCCACGCTAGTGCGGGTCGGCAGCAGCTAACCCACACCCCTAAGAAAATGTTTTCTGTTCAAATCCTTTAGAGCACCTCTCAAAAGCTTGAGCTTTGTAACAACTGAAAACATAGTGTAGCCTTTTACCTTCAGTTGCCATATAGAGTTAACTGTGTGTAGATAGCTGCTGTGCTTAGTCCACATATTAAAGAACTTAAAAGGTTTTTTCCCTTGCTTTTCCTCTTCATATATTTTGATCAAAGCTGGGGAGTGATCTGAGGAGGTTGGCAGAAGATATTCCACATGACTAGAGTTATATTTGTCAATCCATGATTCATTTACAAGTGCCCTGTCAAGTCTGCACCAGATTCTAGAGTTTTGATCCTGTTTGTTGCTCCAGGTAAAGAAACAGCCCAGAGTATTTAGGTGCTGGAAATTACTATTATCAATGAAAGAATTGAAATCATGAGTATCTGCATCAGTAAGAGCTATTCCTCCTATTTTTTCATCAGCATTGATCATTGTGTTGAAGTCCCCACAAAGAAGCCATGGGGTGTTTCCAGCTTTTTGATGCATTTGAAGGAGATCTGTCCATAGGATTTTCCTAGATTCCTGATGGTTGAGGCCATAGATTGAAGAGATAATGCAGTTTATCCTTCCATCTATAGAATTGACAGAACAAGTAATATGCTGAGAAGAAGTAAAGTCAACTTGGATATTCCATATATCAGGATCCCATAATATCAGAATTCTGGCCTTGTCTGTTTCTGTCACATTAGATATTCATTTCCAATTGATGGCAATTTTTTTTGTGATAGCTGGTAAATTTACCTTATTGATTTTTGTTTCAAGTAATGCAATGAAAGAGAGGTGATTCTGTACAATATGTTGCCTGACCAGATGTTGTTTAGGGGACTTGTTTAATCCCCTAATATTCCAAAAGGATAAATTCATATAGATTGTCCCCCCCATCCATTGTAGAGGGATCAAGATCACACATCATTCCAGCCAAAGGGGAGAATGAGTTCCTTTTCCCATTTGCTTTTTTCAGCCAAGGATTTCCAGTATGTGCATTAACTCCAGAATCAGATTGTAAAACGTGCACAACATGCACAGTGTCTTTTCCAGCTGAAAATTTTCCTATGTTCAGTGTATCATACATATCCTTTTGATTAATATGAACATTTTGCACAGAGTTTTCTCCATCTAAGGAATTCACAGCAACCTTGACTGTTTCATCTTGATCAGGCTTCTGTTGATTTTGTAGAACAGGTTGTTGGGCACTGACAGTAACATTCTGAGCAGAAACATTTACTGCAGGAGCCTTTTTTGGAACCCATCTTTGTGTATTAATTTGCCTCTTGCAATTCTTTGTATCATGCCCAATCTGCTTGCATATTTCACACCATTTAGGCTTTAGCTCATAGTATACCAATTGCTTAATCAATTTTCCATTTGGCCCCTATATAAGAATATGGTCTGGGAGAGATGAAGGCATATTTATTTCAACAAGGATCCTTGCATAGGCTAATCTTTGCCTATTAGCTGTCAATTTATCTGTTGTGATTGGCTTGCCAATAACACTAGAAATTTTACTAAGACTTTTAGCATTCCACAGATTTAGTCTCAAACCTGGCAATTGGATCCATACAGGATATTTGTTTTCAAAACTCTTTTCAACATCTTCCTCATTAGACCATTGCTTAAGTAGGAGAGGTCTTGATCCAAAGAACCAAGGACCATTGTCCATGATTTCTTCCATTTCCTCTTTGCTATTGAATTTAAACAAGAACAAGCTAGATTTTAGAAGCAAGATTTCAGGATTAGCTACAGGAGCCCATACTTTCTTAACAAAACTCTCCATAGCTTTGAATTTGACACTGATTCCCAGGACTTGGCCAATAAGAGAAAAATCTCATATATGGATTCCTTCATTCCACTCTTCTTCCTCAAAAATAACTGCTTCTTTAGAAGTTGGTGGAACAAAATCCAATATCATACCATTACCAGCCTTTCTATTGTCAGCAAAGAGGCTAGTCCAGCTTTTCTTTTCATTTTGATCCGGATTTAGAGGCGGAAATCCAGATTTTGAAGGATTTAAAGGGGGAAAATCACTATCAATCATGGATTTGCCTTCAACAGAATTCCTTAGGGATTTATTTCCATCAATTTTAGTCAAAGAAGAATTAACAATTGGATTAGAAATTAATTGCTCTGAACTTTTCTTGTTAGCTAAACCTGAGGACATAAGATGATCTTCAACCTCCAAGATTTCATCATTAGCCCAAGCAAAACTATTAGAGCTGCTACCTCCATTAGAATTAGAGACCAGAGACTTACTAGACTGATGAGATCTGATCGAAAGAGGAGTTGTCAGAAAACTAGGAACCTCCAGAGTATTTGCAGGCCTGGGATCATCAATGTATTCCTTTAGCTTTTCATTTCCTTATCTCAGCTGTGAATTCATCTGCATCACAGGAGAATTTGCAGAACTAAGCATCTCAATGGATTCCGGCATCTTTTCACCTTTTGATTCTAGCTTTTCATTTCTTGATCTCATCTGTGAACTCATCTGTTGTTGAGAATTTTCACTTCTTGAAATCAACTGATGAGATCGGATACCTATCTGCTGTGATTTTGCTTGAGACTCAGTAACCTCGAGAGATCTTGCAGACTTGAGTATCTCCTCCATAAATTTCTTCAATTTTTCACCTCTTGGACCTGTTGATCCCATGATTCCAGAATCATAACCATCTTCATCTTCTTCAAAACTTGAACCCGATTGAGTCTCTGAGGATTGTAAGCTCAAATCTGATGCTTTTAATCCAAAGCTGAAGATCTTCTTGCTGTTGTTTCTCTTTTTTCTTGCCATCAAAAACTTGGCGGGGGAGCACGTTAGCACAAAAAAATTCGCCTGCTAACGTGCACCATGGATAACCGCCCCAATCACAAAGAACATATTTATTTCTTGGTTTAAAAAATTATTAGTAGATAATACATTCTGTATTATTGAACCTTAAATATGCACTTCTAATATAATATTTACTTATGGTATATTGATTCTCAATATATCATACACAAAAGTTACAAATGCCACTAAATTAGAAAATTAATATTAAATGTTGTGTATCTTATTGGAATAGCAAAATTTTTTATTGGATATAAAATTACAAAAACTATAATAGCAAGATGGAATCACGACCGATATAAAGATATTATTTGAATAGCTTAGGTCATGGGAATTGTATAAGTCAATTTTTTAATCCAATAAAGAATCTCAATCAAAAGATAAATTAATCTAGATTGCATATAAGAAATCAAACATTTTTTTGCAATTCAATCAAATATATCATATATAGGTTTGTGTAATCTGATTTACACAATAAATAGAAGATAGATAGCCAATATGTTTTATTAGTTATTCTTTATAGCCTAAAGTTAGTAGGAACAAAGAACTTATAATTGATTAATAAAAAAGAAGACAAACAAAGTTAGATGATGCACCATAATTATTAACAAAAGAACATAAAAAATGCTTAATAGAGATAAAAATTCAAAAAGATTAAAAAAATTGAAAGTGTTGGATAAATTGATAGCACCTCAAAACTTAAATGCACATGAACCAAGTAATTAGTTAAGAATTATATCATGAATATATCTAATAACCAAGAAAGCACAACTTATGACCACTATTCAAAAGAAAAAGCATAACCTATGATAAATAGCACAAAAACTCTTTACAACATTGTGTCGATGGGTTTTGGGGGGAGGGGTGGTCTTTAAGTATCTTTTCATAAACTCTAAAAATAAGATCATACATTCTTTCTAAGTATTAAAAGATCAATAAGAATCCTACCTAATACACAATCAAAAAAAGATAGACACCAAAAGCAATCTTTGGTTTCCAAATTTATACATACTCTTAAATATCAAGACTTTTAAATAATAACCTCTATTATCCTTCTCTGTTTCAAGGATTCAAGACACAAAGCACAAATCAAGAGCTATGAATTGAACTTGAGTCATAGTCTTAAACTCCATAAAAAAAATAAGGGAAAAATGCTTCCCGCCCCCAAAAGCCAAGAGAACGTGCTTCCCACCCCCAAGACTTGGTCAATGAGTGTTTTACCCCTAAAAATAAAGATTTTGTTCTCTGAGCCCCCAAAACACAAAACCCAAGACATTAAAACATGTGAAGACCATAATACCCTTCTCTCTCTTTCTTTTTTTATTAAAATATGATGAGGATTATTTTATTATTTTTCTCTCTCTCTCTTTATCATGATGTACCAAGAGGATAGTTGAAATGATTGATGAGGATTATTTTATTATTTTCGTTTTTTATTATTTTGGTTGTTTGTATTGGGAGGTTGTTAAAGTTACGGGTTGATTGTTAAGGTTACGGGTTGGTTGTTAAGGTTAAGGGTTTGTTGTTAAGGTTATGAATCCTCTCTCTCTCTCTCTTTCTTTTTTTATTAAAATATGATGGGGATTATTTTATTATTTTTGTTTTCTCTCTCTCTTTATCATGATGTACCAAGAGGATAGTTGAAATGATTGATGAGGATTATTTTATTATTTTCGTTTTTTATTATTTTGGTTGTTTGTATTGGGAGGTTGTTAAAGTTACGGGTTGATTGTTAAGGTTACGGGTTGGTTGTTAAGGTTAAGGGTTTGTTGTTAAGGTTGTGGATTTGTTGTTAAGGTTGTGGATTTGATTGTTAAGGTTACGGGTTGGTTGTTAAGGTTAAGGGTTTGTTGTTAAGGTTGTGAATCCTCTCTCTCTCTTTCTTTTTTTATTAAAATATGATGGGGATTATTTTATTATTTTTGTTTTCTCTCTCTCTTTATCATGATGTACCAAGAGGATAGTTGAAATGATTGATGAGGATTATTTTATTATTTTCGTTTTTTATTATTTTGGTTGTTTGTATTGGGAGGTTGTTAAAGTTACGGGTTGATTGTTAAGGTTACGGGTTGGTTGTTAAGGTTAAGGGTTTGTTGTTAAGGTTATGAATCCTCTCTCTCTCTCTTTCTTTTTTTATTAAAATATGATGGGGATTATTTTATTATTTTTGTTTTCTCTCTCTCTTTATCATGATGTACCAAGAGGATAGTTGAAATGATTGATGAGGATTATTTTATTATTTTCGTTTTTTATTATTTTGGTTGTTTGTATTGGGAGGTTGTTAAAGTTACGGGTTGATTGTTAAGGTTACGGGTTGGTTGTTAAGGTTAAGGGTTTGTTGTTAAGGTTATGAATCCTCTCTCTCTCTCTTTCTTTTTTTATTAAAATATGATGGGGATTATTTTATTATTTTTGTTTTCTCTCTCTCTTTATCATGATGTACCAAGAGGATAGTTGAAATGATTGATGAGGATTATTTTATTATTTTCGTTTTTTATTATTTTGGTTGTTTGTATTGGGAGGTTGTTAAAGTTACGGGTTGATTGTTAAGGTTACGGGTTGGTTGTTAAGGTTAAGGGTTTGTTGTTAAGGTTATGAATCCTCTCTCTCTCTCTTTCTTTTTAGAGAGAGAGGATTCATAACCTTAACAACAAACCCTTAACCTTAACAACCAACCCGTAACCTTAACAATCAACCCGTAACTTTAACAACCTCCCAATACAAACAACCAAAATAATAAAATAATCCTCATCAATTATTTCAACTATCCTCTTGGAACATCATGATAAAGAGAGAGAGAAAACAAAAATAATAAAATAATCCCCATCATATTTTAATAAAAAAAGAAAGAGAGAGAGAGAGAGAATTCATAACCTTAACAACAAAACCTCAACTAACAACCAACCCGTAACCTTAACAATCAACCCGTAACTTTAACAACCTCCCAATACAAACAACCAAAATAATAAAAAACGAAAATAATAAAATAATCCTCATCAATCATTTCAACTATCCTCTTGGTACATCATGATAAAGAGAGAGAGAAAACAAAAATAATAAAATAATCCCCATCATATTTTAATAAAAAAAGAAAGAGAGAGAGAGAGAGAGAGAGAGGATTCATAACCTTAACAACAAACACTTAACCTTAACAACCAACCCGTAACCTTAACAATCAACCCGTAACTTTAACAACCTCCCAATACAAACAACCAAAATAATAAAAAACAAAAATAATAAAATAATCATCATCAATCATTTCAACTATCCTCTTGGTACATCATGATAAAGAGAGAGAGAAAACAAAAATAATAAAATAATCCCCATCATATTTTAATAAAAAAAGAAAGAGAGAGAGAGAGAGAGGATTCATAACCTTAACAACAAACCCTTAACCTTAACAACCAACCCGTAACCTTAACAATCAACCGTAACTTTAACAACCTCCCAATACAAACAACCAAAATAATAAAAAACGAAAATAATAAAATAATCCTCATCAATCATTTTAACTATCCTCTTGGTACATCATGATAAAGAGAGAGAGAAAACAAAAATAATAAAATAATCCTCATCATATTTTAATAAAAAAAGAAAGAGAGAGAGAAGGGTATTATGGTCTTCACATGTTTTAATGTCTTGGGTTTTGTGTTTTGGGGGCTCAGAGAACAGATTCTTTATTTTTAGGGGTAAAACGCCCATTGACCAAGTCCTGGGGGTGGGAAGCATGTTCACTTGGCTTTTGGGGGCTGGAAGCATTTTTCCCAAAAAATAACTCTTTAAGTCTACAAACCAATTGACAAATATTATCTATTGTACGCACATGCACATACATCTACAAGCCATGTACACTATAAACCATTTGCCAATTTTTTCATATAACATAGTTTTAATATGTGATGTAGTGGGTTGAAGAGAATGGATAGCCGTAATTTATAATAAAAGGGATATTATGTAAAGGGAAAATGAAAGAGTGGTTAATTGATTGGATTCATAACATATGCATTTAATTAAATAAGTTATGGAATCTATAAGAGCCTAAAAAACTAATTAAATCTTATTATTATGATGATTTATAATTAATTTAATTTAATTTAAGACCCATTAAGTGAGACTTTGAGATAAATTAAATAAATAAAATATTTAAAGTAAAGTTAGGATGATCAAATTTAAGAGGGGTAAAAATAATCAAAAAAATTAGCACCGAATCCTCTTTTATATGTAGTATAGAAGTTACAGATGAAGAAGAAAAACAGACAATTTGATCACCACCCTCTTGAGCCTAACTAGGAATTAAGCAGAAACTCTCTTTTCAACTCAAAGAAATGAGTCAATCACATGCTACGTAAATAAGAAGCCTTACCAGCATCACATGACAACATGTGACGAGTCACGTGATGTTTAGTCGCCGAAAATTTTGCTTTTGTCAAAAAATTAAGCTTTGTTATTACCGTGTACCTTATACATAATCGAAATAAGAAAATATATTTAGTTGATACTCAAGAGTAAAATATGCCAATATGTCAAGTTTAGCTTATTTAGATGTACGTAAAAAAATGCGTGCGTTGATCTGAAAATTTCACCTTTCACGAGACTCCAAAATCTGTACCGCCCGGCTACGCCGTTATACGAGGGGTTCTGACCAGTGCGAGCGTGTGGGCCCAAGACGCTGCCGAGGGGCACACGTCTCTAGGATACGTGTCTCCTGCCGCAGCGCGTGCGAACACACGCGCGCGTAGTGGCCGGACATCGCCTCCGTATTATGGCTGCAGCCGGCCACCAGCAGCGCCCGTACCCCGAACAGGGAACATGCGTGCAAGCGGCTGCTGCAACTTGTGCGCAGTCGCGGGCGCCCACGGGGAGGGGGTACGCGGTTTTGCGACCCCTATCCCCCCGTCTGCGGTGCAATCCCACCGTCCGCTCTAATCAACGGCGCGGACGCTTCTCCTGCCACGCAACGTCAGGCGGCGGGACGTTGATTTCGCATGGAGGCTATATAGCTGGTAAGGCTTTATTCGAGGCCAGTAAATAAGGTCAAAGCATTCTGGATCCGGGAGCGAGGCGTATCGTCAGTCCGTTAGTAGGCAGCCGGTTCCAATTAAGCTAAACAAAAAAAAAAAAAAAAAAACCGCAGCATCTTCACTTTTTATGAAGTAAATAAATAGATCTGCCGCAAGAGTATTATCTATTTTAGTTGCCGAAATTTTAATTAACTTGCGTATAAAAATAAAATAGAATATTACGATGTTGCTATTTAAAGAAAATGTTTATCTGTTGTCGCTCGCTCTGGCCTCTAGCCATTATTGTATAGGGTGGCACTACAGGCACACCAACAATCACATCTTGGGACACACCCCTCTCTCAGCTACAGTGTATGTGATCTACATAAAATTTTTAAAATAATTCCATATGGCTCCCGTGCACTGTAGCTGAGACAGGGAAGTGTGACCCAATATGTAGTTGGTGATGTGCCTCCACCATTTCCCTATTGTATACAACTAAAACAGCTATAACTAGCTGTTGGGTTGGCGATTGGCGTTTACTTTACAAATTCTGTTGAAATCGATTAATCGCCTCGTTAATTTTAGGTTTAACTTCTCTTTTTTTTCCTCATCTTAAGCTCAGTTCTCCCTCGGTCCCAAGCCAAGAACTCAGTACTTTTTCGTCGCTGTTGCGTGACGAAGCGTTCCTTTATTGCGCGCGGTAAAAACTAAAAACCAATCATCATTTTTTTAAATAGGGGAGAACAGCTGGCTCCAACTCTCTGTCTTTGACCAGAAAGTAACCACCAGGGGAGGAAGGAGAACGTGGGGGCACTGGAGATGCCCCTGCCTGTGGGCCCCCACAACACCAACTGTAAACTGTACCTTTTTAACTTCACTTTTGGCGCCTGTCTAATGTTATCAGAGGCGCAAACGTGAAGGAGCGCCAGGGCATCAAACAGTATTAGGGTTAATTGAGAACATACCCACGTAGTTCTATTTGTAGGAATATATCTCCTCGGTATTTTATTTTTTTAAAACTCTGGAAGGAGTTTTAAAAAGTTTTAAGGAGGCAGATAGGCCTCTTATAAATCTATCCGGTAAGGATAGACTTGCAGTTGCCAATTTATTTTGGCTCCAAAAAATAGTATTAAAAAAAGCCGACCGCTTCGGTGCTCCCAAAAATTCAGTTGGGAGTTCCGATGGCAGGAGATGTAATTATGAAACAGGATATTTAGCTCTCTAATCCTTAATTGTAGGATATGTTAGTTAAAAGGAGTTCCACTGACATTTTAGTAAATAGATAGAACTTTTAAATTAACCATAAGGGTGATTTAGGAACTAGTACAAAGTGATTAAGTTATAAAACAGATGTAAGATCTCTGGGATCATTGACCACGAAACTTTATTCAATTTTTTCTTCTTATATAATATATATGCCTCCCTTCCACAAAATTTGAATAATTTCTTTTATCAGAATATCAATTTTTTCTTCCAAAATTTAGCGGCATTCAACACATCAACTAATTTCATCGAGGGAGGAAATATGTAAGGTAATTAAAAATTTCTTTTTTAATTTTTTCTTTTGTAGAAAAAGATAATATCATCAATGTTATACTTTCGTAGAGTCAGTCATCTGATTGTGTTTCTCCTTAATAATTTTTATTTCTCTAAAATTTATAGTTCAGAGTGATACATAGAACAACTTGTAAAATGACATAACAATTGATCATCGAAATTCGGAGTGCGGGATCATAATAAACACCTTAAAGCAAATGATTGATTAAAAAAGAAAAATAGCAACAAGAGGAGGGGATCGGTTGGGTTCGAGGAGGAAGGATAAGGTGGACAGGTCTTCGGAGCGGAGGAGAGGGCGGAAGGTCAGTGAGAAGGCACGGGTGGAGGAGAGGGGTCGGGTGGAGTTCGGTGATGACTCTGGCGGTAAAGATTTGACGCAGCAAGAGAGAGGACAAAGATGGAGGAAACAAAGAACAGTTTTGGAAGTGGATAATTAGGAAAGTATGTAAATTGGTTGGACAAAAATACCCTTCCATCTTTCTAGACAGTTTTAATTATTTTTCCAAATTAAAAATGCTAAAAAATGTTAATTTGGGAGCACCGAAGCAATGCTCTTAAAAAAAATTAGTGAAGGGGTGTATTCGCACTTGGACAAATACCGTAGGGGATCTGTTTGCACAAATAGAACCATAAGGGTGTTTCGCACGATAGAGAATTGCATGGGTTCTTTTTGCGGTTGTATGATACTATCAAAATCAACCCATAATACTATCAGCATTAGTTGCTCGGTACTCAAATAATGTTGGAACCACAACAGCTCACGTGTTGTGTAGACCCTGAAAACACACAAGATTACATGGTTTATTGTTAAAAAAATATTAATGATTAGTTGAATTCTTCTTTAATTATTGAAATATGTTGCAAAAACACATTCATACGAAGCAACTACAATATGTACATGACGCTGATATTGTTATGGTTCCAACAAAAAGCTACGAAACACTCTTTTTCGGGGTGTGGAAAATGAGCACCAGATCTTTAAAATAAATCGCCTTAATTTTGCACAATGCATCACTGAGAATGAGTACTACAGTAAATCGTAGAGAAGGCTAGAAAAATAAAAACCAGACTATCGTCGCTCTCTGTGTAACAAATTATCGGAGCAAATTATATGCAACATTGTCGCAGTCCCACTTAGCGCTTCTATTTGCCGCGTACCGAACAACAAAAGAAAACTACGGAGCCATGTTCCTGGTAATTATACCAGTACCCATGGCGCAAACGCAATGAGCCCTAGAGAGATCTAAAATTGAAAAGGGATAACCAAAGTTCATCATAAGCATTTCTATACTATGACAAAAAAATAAATATAAAAGCAACTTGTTTTACACTCTGAAAGCAATAATTCAAAATTTATCGCTAATTACAAACCTGCTAAAAATATAAATACCTAGGGCCATATAAAGTTTTACCAGTAATACTACAGGATGGTTAGAAGGTTTATCCTGATCATTTCTTATCCAGCTTGCCCATAAAATTTCGAGGCATTGACAGGGATGGTACTTGCCGAGGTATGGGACTGAAGTTTCATGAGATAGCAACAGAAATAATGCAACTTTCTGCGATCTCCAAGCAATGGAACTAACCTTAGTTAGTCTTTTTATCACCTTCCGTACTTTCCTCGCTTTTTTGAGCTGAATCTGAGCTGGATGCTACGAGACTTTGATCTTCATCTTCACCTCCAAACCCAAACTCTTTTTTGAGCTGAATCTGAGCTGGATGCTACGAGACTTTGATCTTCATCTTCACCTCCAAACCCAAACTCATTGACACGCTTCTTATCTACTGGATGCTACGAGACTTTGATCTTCATCTTCACCTCCAAACCCAAACTCATTGACACGCTTCTTATCTACTGGATATACCCATCTCTGATATAAATATATCAAGAAAATGACATCTGCATCATCACCCAAAAAAGAAAGATAAGAAAAAGACCATTAGTAAGAATATCATTAAATTATTGCTATAATGAAATTGAGAAATGAAACATGAACCCACCATCACGGAAAACTGAGAGGCGATGAAGCATTGGCATTTTGATGACAAATGCAAAGAGATCATCGATGATCGTGTTGAGGAACTTGTAGGTCATCTGTCTCCATGGAAGATGAGCAACCGACTTCATCTTGTAGTTTATGAATAGTTGGGGGCACATCATGATAAACCCTGAAAGACATGGGAAGAATAGCAATAGTTAGTAACAGGAAACAGATATTCAGTTGAAAATTAAATCTTCGTAGTAATATATTTATGTTGAGATAAACAGCGTTATCAATATGATTATTCAAAGCAATCATTCTCATTCTTCCCATTAAAAATTAGATCTTTATAGCAATATTATAGTGTTAAGATAAACAGAGTGATCAATATGATTATTCAAAGTAATCATTCTTATTCTTCCATTGATGGGATGGAAATTATTTGGGTCCAGCAAAACTGGAGATGAGACTGAAGGTGAGAATTGAAAATGTCCTTACTAAAAAAGATTTATTCCCCACATACAGAATTCATCCTTTACAATTACAAGATTCGAAGACTCCATCTCCAGTTTTTCCTAGCTAGATTAATAGAATTTCAGCCAACCTCCCACGCTCTTTCACAGTTCACTAACTATGCGTGCTGTTTGGTACCCAAAATCTTCAATTTCTTAGCATCTACAACATAAAACACATTTAAGCTCCTTAAGAGTGTAAAAAAACTCCTCGTTTCACGAACACGCGAGGCAAGTTAATCAAATGCTATCACAGCTATTAGTTTAATGTATAAGGAGACAGGCTTCTGTAAAGCCTCTCCACAAAGGCACAAACAAATACAAGTCTCCTCATTTCATGAACACATGAGGCAAGTTAATCCATGATATCACCAGCTATTAGTTTAATCACTTCGGAGTTCAGATTAAGTACAGAACAGAATGCATAGTGAATTTTGTCCAAGTACTGTTTTGCAAATACCCAAGTAACCGATGATACCATTCAAACCTCAAGGGACCAAGTGTGGCTGCAATTAGTATCCTCTTTGAAATATTCCTAAACGTGCAAAGGATGTTTTTCTCAAATCCATCTCGTCAGAACCCCAAGTAACATTTTTTTAACAAAGATTTTTCAGAGCTTGTTTCCAATTTTCATGAAAAGTGTCATTAATCATATGACACTTAGGCTCAAATTCAAAGAATTTTTTTAAAAGTGTCACAATGACACTTAGCATTACATTCCTACCTATTCTTCTGTTTTCCGGTCCATGGAGCGTTTCTTTTTTTTTTTAAATTAGCTTTTATGATCTTCTTAAGGGCAGAGTGCTTGTGAGGCCAAGACCGCAACTTTTAGTTTTTGTAACACTTTATTTCTGAATGTTCGAGCTTTAAATGGCCCTGCATAGTTGGTTACACATCTGTGCAACTGAGGGTTGATCATGACTTGTGGGGATACATGTACGTGGGTATTGTGGGCAGTAGTCGGGGAAGAGGGGAAGCATGCCTGTTGTCTTGCACCAAAAAAAGAAGAAGAAGAAGAAGGGGGGCATCCCCTAAGCCGACTCGAAAAGTGCTAAAGCGAGGTGATAGTTAAAAATATTTTGTAAGCAGCATAATGCATGTAAGTGCTCGAATATAGTACTATTGTTAAAACAGGTGAATGCCTTTGCGCCACCCACTAATGAAATATCATATAAACATTGGTATTCCAACAGGTGAATGGTTGCTAGAGAATTTAGAACCAATTCAAACGACAAACAGATGCAGTTTGGTTCTTATGCAAACAGAAGAGAGGACTTACCAAACATGTACACACAGCTTGTAAGAGACGAAAGAATCCAAGAATACCAGCTTTTGTGCTTCTCATACATGAGGGAATAGACAGAAGAGCAAGCAACAAGCAAGAAAAGAACATATGATAGGTACTTCATTGCAAGATCATCATACTCCTTGGTTTTGTTATTTGTATATGATTCACGATCTTTAAATTTTAACATAGGAATCCTTCCACTTCTGTCGATCTGATAAGATTACCAAAAAAAATCAGAGTAAAAGACCAATGAAGCATGGAAGGACATACTTACTACTTAATTTTTTATTTTTATTTGGCCAAAATTTTATCATAAACAGTAGAGAAAAAAATGGTTGGCAACAATTAGTTATGAAAAAAGTAAAAGAATAAATGTAACTCAAATAATAATAACATTCAGGTGTTCCCTATACTTGCTATTATTGGGAACTTATTTTATAACATGAAAAAGGATCAGATTGCAGCAGCAACTGTGATCAGAAATCTTTCACAAGCTTAGTTCCTTCTAACAGCTAATAGCATCTATACCTATTGTGACATAGTTAAAATTTATCTAAGGCAAGCACACTGAACGTATATCTTGGACAATTTTTTTCATTTCAAATGTTTTAGATGCCATCACTGGAATACAATGTTTGAAAAAGCTTTTTTGAAACTGGCTTTGAAACTCACTTCAAAACTTTTTGAGGGCTAAACGCTTTGAAACTCTAGAGTGAAGTTATTTATCCATTGAAGCTTACGCCTCATCGCTTAAAGCATAATTGAAACGTGTGATTCGCGCTTCATAAAGCGCTTTTCTTTTGAAGCGCACGCTTTAGACAGATAGAAAAATATAAAAGAATTTTTGACTAACATTAAAATGCCCCTATGTATTTTCAATATGACCATGTGAGTGTAAATAAAATATATATGTTATGCGTATAGCTTAGTTTATTGTGATTTGCATCTGTACTTTACATATTTAATTCTTATTCACTAATCAGAACATGAATGTATACATTTGTAAACTGTTACACCAGAATATATTATATGTTCATAATTTTTACAAATTTAAAAAATTGAAATACTTAAAGTCATGAAGCTTACACCTCTCAAAGCTTATGCCTCGCTTCATCAAAGGGTCTAGCACTTCACTTTGTGCTTCCGCTCTTTTAAACATTGCTAGAATATGTTTAACAGGATTCCCTAAATTGTTTGGAGTTCCTAGGACTTAATTATGACTGCAGTGGTTCGTTCTCACCAATTAGGAAAACTCAGCTAGGTATAGCTTACCTCAATATGCATGGCTTTACCAATTTTCCAAAATTCAATGCAGCAACCGACCCCAGAACTAGCAAGGATCATCCAAGATGTGTCGTTGTCAAGAAGGTAAAGGAAAACAATTAGCTGACTTATAAAGCTCACAACAACCGATTTTGCAGATAATCCTTCCATTGATTTGTTCTTATTCCGAAACTGGATATCTGCAAGAAACAAGATAAATCTCCAATAATAACACACAAGTGAAGTTGAATTTAAAAACCACCCTTCAAGCCTCATGATGAATATTCATTTGACATACCATTCTTGAATGCCAAGAAATCAAACACAGAGTGGAGCAGTGACACGACCATGGTTACCACCAGTTAGCTGACTTATAAAGCTCACAACAACCGATTTTGCAGATAATCCTTCCATTGATTTGTTCTTATTCCAAAACTGGATATCTGCAAGAAACAAGATAAATCTCCAATCATAACACACAATTGAAGTTGAATTTAAAAACCACCCTTCAAGCCTCATGATGAACATTCATTTAACATACCATTCTTGAATGCCAAGAAATCAAACACAGAGTGGAGCAGTGACACGACCATGGTTACCACCAGAAGGTAAGGATTCCCCTCCAAGAAAACCCTCTGATAAAAAAGTGAAGTAAAATAAACCACATTAGGCTTTCACTTCTTGATTCAAGTTTGAAGATATGTATATGCAAAATGTACAGAAGAATAAAAAGGACAAAGTTAGAACACTACATATTAAAAAATCAGGAAAGACCATGATCGAGTGTAGAAGAACAAACTAACAGTTCAACCTGACCAATGCTGTTGCAGATCAATTGTAGCATAAATAGTCTGTAGCAGCATTACATCAGCATCCTGCTGCTAACTTTATGTGCACATCTGACCATAAGGTTCTCAAATGCATGCTCAGCACACCCCCAAATCCAACCAATATAGAAAAAATATTTATTTGGTAGACATTACCATACAGACTAGTAGTGGGAAACATATGAAAATGTTAATTGCAGAAGCCTTTCCAACAATTAGATATGGTGTTCACTAATATCTAGCAAATATGCTTTATGGGAATGTTCAATTTATATCCCACCCAATCCTTATAGGTGTAGGATTACCACAGGGCAGTACAGGTTACATTACATTTTAGGCACCATATGTACTCAAAATTAAACAGTCTAAGAACTTGCAGCTCTGGAGCGGCGGAGCCTACAAATTCTGTAAACTAAGGAACGGTCCTGAGAAAGAGGTAGACTGTTGAAATTTCATAAGCAAACACTATTGTCCCCAACTCACAGTAAGCCAAAGTGCCAATTAGAATCAAAATTTAAACCTATAGGCTATTGGGTGAATATTTCCCCATATATATCAAAATAACTATAGAGCATAGGCTGCTATGGGCCTACTATACGAAAGTTAGAAAGCCATATGTGTGTGTGTGCGCGTCCGTCTGTGCGTGCGTGTGAAAGCTTACATATGTGCATATATGTGTGTGTGTGCGCGCACGCGCGTGCATCTGTGTCTGTGTATCTGTTTGTGTACGCGTGTGTGTGCGTGCGTGTGCGTGTGTTTGTGTGAAAGCTTACATATGTGCATATGTGTGTGTGTGTGCATGCGTGTGTCAATGTGTGTGTGCGCACTTGCGTGCGTGCGTGTCTCTGTGTGTGTAATAAAAATAATTTAGAATGACAAGTGGTTATGGGCCCTATGACTGTATGACAATTAAATTTTAAACATAATGTTTAGGTACTGCTTTGAATCATAGAACTTTAAGAATACACATACCACTGTGACACTTCCAGATATGGATAGACTATACAAGGCTGATAACAAGAATAGAAGACTGTACTGTCAAACTTTTCCTATTCAAAAGCCTAAGCCTTGACAAGACAAGTATAAGCACAGGTCCATTCCTTGTGTAAAACTCAGCCTGCTACTAGTGAAATGAGAGATTACAAGTAGTATCTCATGTAGTTTAACTCAGCTTGTACATAAAAAGCATATGTCTAATGGAATTGTCCACAGTTCTAAGCTAAAGAAACACATTTCCAAATAAATAGTAGCTACTCGTGCAAGCTCAAAAAGGTAACAACATTGAACAGTTTTATAATCGCCAAATCATTTGCATAAGGACAGGAAAGGTGGTCAAACTAGAGATGACTCCTAAACATCACAATCTGGCATAAGCTAACATTTTTTTTCTGAATTATTTACTTACGGTAAAATTAAACTGCAACCTCATACCTTAAGTTCATCAGCCTCGCCTTCAAGCATACTTCCGTAACTTCGGTGAACCTGGAAGGACTGCTCAATCTGTAAAAACAGCTGCCACTTAGTCATGCTGATTGGACCAACTTCTAAATTGAGCGGCAGCTCGGTCACAGTATCATTAAGAGCTATCAGCTTATCCCTCAAAAGCCAGAACTCATTGAAGAAGATCGTGGGATAATAGTTCCCCGAGATTGGATCAACATTCAGGTCTATATCTAGAATCAAGGAGGACACTCTAATATGCAATTCAGAATATTGACCATAAATCACCCAAAAAATGTTGTAGAGGAAGATAACCATGGTCAGAGTTCCAAAATGATCAACCAGTTTCTTTCCTTAATATGTCAAAAAGATACTAAGGGGCTGTTTGGTTCATTTCCATAAAATTATGGAAATGAATTCCCTGACAAGAAACCAATTTTTTAAAAAAAATAGGATATATAAGGAATCCAAAACTTGTGTTTGATATGGAATGATAAAGTAAAGAATAGGAAAGCATATTCAAAACTCAAGTTTGTTTCATTTCCAAATAATAAGAAAAGTGTGAGAGGAAATGATGAGCTGGAATGAGTTGTCAGCTTTCTAACTCATTTCCTAGCCAAAAGATAGGAAATGGGCTGTCCAAAAAAGTCACTATTTTCTCTCTTTTCAAGAAACCTCTTCTTCAAAAAATGTGAAACAAACCCAACTTTTGGAATCCTAAAATGGCCAAAAACCTACTTTTTGTTCCAAATCCTTAAAAAACGCATTGTTTCCAATAATTTAGGGTGAACCAAACACGCCCTAAGTAGAAAAGCCACNACCCCCCCCCCCCCCTCCTTTTCCTTTAAAAAAAGCTGAGGTAAGAAAAATTGCATAAATCAACTGTTAGATTCCCAAATATCAAAAGGAAAACATAAGATATAGATGTAGATTGAAAATAAAGATGTAAAAGTTTCACCAACGCCAACTTCTTTTAAGAAGAAACACAATTAACACACAAAAAATTGATAACAATTTCATGCAAAGCCTGTTATAGAAGTAAATATATAGTGAAATCTTAATTTCTGAACTAAAAATGTGGATAGAACTGGAATTTGCACGTAAAGCAATTATAATAAAAATGAAATTTAAAATTTTTTCATAGTAAACAAGTAATATTGAAATAATAAACATGAACTACAGAGCCAGCAAATTATATCAATAACCAAAGTCATAACTACAGACCATAAAAAATGTGCAGAATTCTAAGCAAATAAAAGGATGACATAGTAAATTGATAAAAATATAAAGTTCAAGGATACATGGAGCAACAACTGGGGGAATGGCATTATGTGGATAGCTGCAAGAAGACAGAAAAATAGACTTAGAAGACTTCATGAGAAGAAAACAAATAAGTACCAGAGACAATTAGATAAGAAACATAATGAAATTTGTGAAAACCTTCAAAAGTTTTAACAAAGATATAATAGGGTAGGGAATGATTTTACTTAATTTTCCAGCAACCAAGGTGCACGCACATCCATCTAAATAGATTATCCAGTATGCTCGTGATATACTTAAATATTTAAAATGAAAGATCATATTGTTGAAAAAGTTTTTACATTATAAACCTAAAGAAACCTTTAGGTGACGGTTGAATCTAAGCTTATTAGAAGAGCCATTAGGTCGGTGCTAGAAAATAAAATCAGAGGAAAGTAAATTATAACAACATAAAGATGATTAAGAGTTTGCAGATATAGATAATACTGCATTTGTAATTTTGTATTGAAAGTTTGTTTTCTAGCAATGGATATAGAGGCTTCTGTCAGTATTGTACAGAATGTTAAATGCAATATCTGTGTTAAGTGAAACAGAATACGCATCTGGATCAATTATAGGTACAAAGTGAAAAAGGGTGAATACAACTAAAATGTTGGAGACGAAAAGGCATTCAGACTTCAATCAAGTGCCTCAATTTTTAACAAGGAGCTAAGGAATGGCAAACATCCAAAGAATAGTAACTAAATTTTATGAATTTTATTTAGCTAACTGCCTTTCAGTTGCAACAATGAGGAACTATTTTGACTGCAGATGTGAATCACCTCGTGAAGTCATCAACAAGATTGATTGTAATATTTGGTTTCCAATAGGACACCCATTCTACAGGACCCTCATCCTTGCTTTCATCCTGTACATCTTCTTTCACCTGTATGAACCAAGAAAAGTTCACCCACAACTCACAGAGGAATACAGGAAGAAATAAGATGAATGAGGCAATCCTCCTAGAGCAAAAAATATAATTATTTGCATCAGATAGAGGGAAAGGTGAGGGGGTTAAAAAGCACCTTGGTAACCGAAACTTCATCTTCATCCCCTTTTTGGTTGCCCAGCAAGCTCTTCCTTTTATCTGCTTTTGACTTGGGCAGGTATGCCACAACAGCTGCAAGAAAACCAAAAGTTTAACTAGATTTTCCAAATTAATATACATTGCAAAACTGTCATAAGTGTTCTGGAAATAAAATTCAGATAACTATATTGACATCATTTATAAATCGTACAATGTGTTCTTCCAAATGTAGTTCCTGGCTGATATTCAGGATCACTAGGATCTGGAGGGTAACCCGAGCGAGCAAAGAAAACATGAGCATAGAGACTCCCATTGTGTTTAACAGCCTGGAATGGTGAATTGTTTCATGAATTGAAAATTAAACAAAAAAGGATAAGTAATTAGAACTTTCTGTTTATAAATTGGAAGAAAAGTTAAGGAAAATATTTAATGATACCTCTGATGGTTTGTATTTCAATGAAAGAGATCGACTGCTACTTGGTCCCCAAACTGCATATGGAATATTTGTCTCTTGCCATATGAGAGCATTCTCATTGCCGAAGTCATTAAATTTATCCTTTTCAGAAAGATATAACCACATGTCCTAGATAAGACAGCAAGACTCATGTATCAACACTGGAATCTCGTTCATACACAACGAAAGTAACACCCAATGAAATTGAAACGAAAAATGCTGGTAGAAGAAAATCAAGTATGGAAATGATTGGTAATTGCTAAATGCAGATAAAATATGAAACAAAATACTGGAAAGAATATCTACAACAAGGAATCGAAACTTCAAGAAAGCTTAGAAAGGTATCCTGCACATTGTTATTGAAAATGTAAGAAGACGCCTAAAATCAAAAGTCATCACCATTTATTCAGTCAGAGAATTAATTTACTACCCACCAGAATAATGTTCACTGATATAAGTCAATGGCACGCCTACATCCTCAATTCTCACCTTAACGTGCTATTTCCTCCTCGTTTGGCACGTTGAATTGCTCTTGCTGAAGCCTTCGGGTTTTGAAGACTTGTATGCTCCAATCTTTTGCTGGGTACTTAGGATTTTAGCTTCTGTGTTTATTTCTCCTGACTTTTTGTGCAGAGCTCTCAATTTCTTCATTTGCTCTAATTACGATTCTAAATCTTTGTGATATACTGTTCTATTTCTAGTTTAGAGTCATAAATTCTGTTGCTTTAGGTTTTTAGTGAAGTAGTTGCCCTTCTTCTTTGCAGTCCTGCTGGCCTTGTCTTGCCTCCGCTACTACTCCACCCGCTACTTCTATCGAATCTTTGCTCGACCTTGGAGCAAGTTTAATTTCATCAGGGGAGTAGTTGATGCAAGCCCAATCCGATTTTATCCATACCCAATACTACCTTCCAATTCAACGGCTGCAGGTGCATCTTACTTCTATATAAGCCTGCCCCGCGGTATCTTCTGACTGGGTTTGAAGTTCAAAATGCAGCCACTCTAGATATCTCGTCTCTTAATTTTCTACCAATTGTCTTCTTTAGTTGCTAGCTAATATGGGTAGTCTTGATCTCCTCTTAGGAGGCAATTAGTGGGGCAGTTACTGTCTTTGTTTCTTTCCTTGTAAGCCTGTTAGGTTCCTCTCATGGTGGTATACAGGCTCATAATTAGTTCCACTCTTGATCTCTTCTCATATTTTATATCTTTTTCTGATGAGTTTTGCAATAGAATGGTTATCAGTTCTACAGAAGCTTTAAATCTCTAAGCCACTTATTTTTTGTATTTGGTAGAAATGAGATTGATTTTGATATTCTATCCAATCCAATACTCCATAAGTGTAAGTGACAGAATTTTTTTTTTCCACGAATTATTTATTAGTTTCGTTCTATTAGGTTCACGCTTTGCATCATAACCTTCAATCTCAATCTCAGACTTATCTAACAATAACAAAATCAAAATCAAAATAAATCCGATCAAAGCCTAGGGTTTGAGTAATAAAATAAGCTATCAATCTCAGACCTAACTAAGGTTTGAGCGATAAAACCTAACTAAGGTTTGAGCGATAAACTAACCAAGGGCTCGCCCCTTTGAAAGAGATTGTTGATGAGCTGAGAAGGCTCCGAGGGTTTCTTTGGAGAGAAGAACTTCATGGCGAAGTACCACATCACCGCCATCCTTATGATCCCCGTGAGCCCTAATCCCCCCTGCTGCTGCTCCCTCCTCCCGCCGCCACCGCCCTGCACCGCCGCCGGTTGCTCCATCCCTCACCGCGGAGCACCCGATCTGGAGAGCGAGGGAGAGGGTTCTGAGATTGATTTTTTGTTGAGAGAGAAAAGGCGAGGGTTTTGAGGGTGGGTAAATTGCACTTAAATAGCGTACAGTTTTTTGCCCTTAAACACCACGAGTTATATTTTGGGGACAAATTTTCAAAACCACCCTATTTAAACATTTAATCTCAAAAAACGATCTATTTTGAACTTATTTGTAAAAACCGACCTGGTTTCAGCCTTGGCGCTAAAATCAGATCGGTTTTTGTGAAAAAACTTCCGAAACTTCAAGGAAGTTGAACTCCCGTGAAGTTTAGTAAATTTGCTAAACTTCACGAGAGTACAACTCCCGTGAAGTTTAGTAAATCTACTAAACTTCACGGGAGTTTAACTCTTTTGAACTATGAAACTTCACGGGAGTTGAACTCCCGTGATGTTTCAAAAAAAAATTCAAAAACCGACCTAGTTTCAGCGCCAGGGCTGAAACCAGGTCGGTTTTTTAAAATAAGTTCAAAACAGGTCTTTTTTGGGATTAAATGTGGAAATAGATTGGTTTTGAAAATTCGTCCTATATTTTGGTGAAAAAAAATACTATAAAGTTTCTAAAATTTGCATTTTACTACGGTCGATCACTTAAATACAAAACTTTTCACCCAAGTGTTTCTCTGTGATACTTACATACTAATATTAGAATTTTTCACTATTAATATTTGTTAAATTTTTTATTAAAAGTATCCTAACTCTATTTTAAAGTTGAATTAATATAACTTTGAAAAAAATGGGTGATTCAATAACAAATTTAACAAATATTATTAGTTAAAAGCTCTAGAATTAGTATGTAAATATCACAGAGAAATATTCGGGTGAAAATTTCCACAATTGCATGATCGATAATAGTCCCGTACAAAATTAGGAAACTTTAAGGTATTTTGTTGCACCGAAATCCAACTTATGGTATTTAAATGCAACAAGTAGGTAACTATATGGTATTTAAGTGCAATTTACCCTTCTGGATTGATGATTTTGTTTATACATAGAGTACTGTTTTGTTTTGTTTTGCTAAAGATTGAGAGTATAAAGTTGGAAGGGTACGTGCCAGCATAGTCTACATTTTTCTATCTTTAGATAGATGTGGATCTTATCCTCTAAGCTTGAATATATATTAATTAATTACCCCTATGTGTTTTGAGCTTGAGCTGCTATACACATATCCCTATCATTTAACACCATTAGCAGTTAAAACGATAACACACCTCATCTCACCCTAAAAATATGTGTTTTTTTTTTCCCATGTACTCCCTAATAAAGCTATTGTATTTGTAGATTTATACTTTTCAAATTTAAAGATTTACTAATTTATATGTACAAATTAAAGTTTTCTTTTTACGATTGAATTTTGGCCCGGAGGAGAGCAAGATTTTGGGCCCTCCAATCATCGGAACGACACGAATCTTTCAAGGAAACCCCCGAAATTGCCGTTCATCATAAGAATTACACAGTTTTCATGAGAAATATTTAAAACTCCATATCAATATGAGAGAAGGTAAGATTAATTAAGTAAATATTAAAGTTACTGAGGTCTTTCGTGATGATTGTTTTGTTGAGAGACAGACAGGGTTTTGAGATTGATTATGTTTGTTTATATGTCGAGTACAGTTTTGTTGTGTTTTATGTGATTATTACAGTTAAATCTTAAAATAATTAATCATTTGCGAGGGTCAGTAACAAGAGATCTTTTATGCAGGTTATCGTGCATCTGAACCGTTAGTTGATCATTTTTTAGAATCAACAGACGAGATATTTTTTATAATCAATAGATGAGATTTGTTCCGTGAGAGGGTTTATAAATGGGCCGAGCAGCCCACTGATTAGGCCTCTTTGGACTTTAAGCTATAGAAATTATCTTTTTATTTTTTTTACTAGTCATATCATATCATATCATACTCCTTCTATTTAAAAATACGAGTTTAGGAAAATCTTTCGGTAGACAAAAATACTCTTAAAATTCAAATACTAATTCATTAAGAGTAAGTTGATAAATTAATAAACTCTTATTGGATATACATAGTATGAAGATAATGATATAGTTTAAATTAAAATATAAACTTAAATAAAATTATTAAATACCAAACTTACAAATGTATACAAGATGAAGCGCGTATATACGTAAACAAAACAATTTAACGAGGTAAAATAATATCTACTCTAAAGATCGAACCCATTAGCAGTGCAGACCTACAAATATACATAATGTGGATAGGGTATCTACAAAATCCACCAAACAAATTAAAGAGACAAAATCATTCTCAAAAATAAAAATTAAAACAAACGGTTGCGATCTGAGGACACAAGTGGCAATCTCTCACCGACTAAAATTCAAGTAGTTTACGGTAGTGCATAATTAGTTTCAAAGTTTAATTATACTATTATTATTTAAATAGAACTCTATTTACAATTATTATCCTCAAGTTTAATTATACTATTATTATTTAAATAGAACTCTATTTACAATTATTATCCTCTCACATGCAACATTACATACTAATATATATAAGCTAAAAATATAGAACTCTATTTACAATTATTATCCTCTCACATGCAACATTACATACTAATATATATAAGCTAAAAATTTATAACAATTTTCATAGCACTTTCATTTGCTTTTACAGATATGTACCTTTGTTATTTTCTTCTTATTAGATTAGATTAGATTATCTTAAAGTAATTAATTATATTATATATTTAATCTTTTTTCATATTAAGAAGTAGCAATAATTTTCACAGCACTTTCATATCTATTTTCTTATTATTAGATAGATTAGATTATTTTAAAACAATTAATTTTATTGTATGTTTGATCTTTTTTAGATCAAAAAATTACAATAATTTTCGCAGCACATTCATCTCCTTCGACAGGTATGTGTCTTTATTATTTTCTTCTTATTAGATTAGATTAGATTGTTTAAAATTTATGAATTATAAATTACAACAATTTTCACATTACTTTCATCTATTTTTTCTCTTTTTAGATTATATTAGATTTTTTAAAGTAAATAATTATATTATATGTTTGATCATTTTATTAGATCATAAAGTTTAATTGTACTATTATTATTTAAATAGATGTTATTTGTATAAAAGTCAAAGAGAATCCCACACGTATCTTAGATCTCAATGACAATTGTAATATTTACATATGGGTGTTGGTTAAAATAAATTTCACATATGGGGTTAACTTATATGATAATACTTTAACCGGATTAGATAATTTAAAATTTCTTCTTTACACCCAAACTCTTTCAGAAAACCAAAAAAGAGTAACAATGTTATAGTTATATATATCCACAGGACCACAGATATATTAAAAATGAACGAAGAAAAACACACAAACAAAAATCATATTAATTACCCACACACACCCACTGTTTTCAAAACCACCATTCCCCATCTCCATTTATAATATATCCACATACTCAAATTAAGCTGCTAGAGTTTCTCCTCACCAACTACACCATTGATCAACATTTCTTTTTTCTTTGTATTTAAACTATATAACATTCATTGCGATTAAGACTCACCTGGGTCCTCTGCCTGCCTTGAACACCCAATAAAAAATAATGTACTATGCTTTGTAGTTAGTTAATAATGAGATATTATCATTATAAACAAATTAAGTAAAGATTAATAATTCTTAAGAATATACTACGTTCCACTAGCTTCCACTGCAAACTTGTTAGTTGTTTATTCATGGCCCCAAGAGATTTCTAAAATTAATCTTGATGGTTGTTTACAATAAAAGAGTTATATTAGAGCGCCCATGCAGTCCATTTTATTGTTTAAATTTGCTAACACGTTTTGTCTCTAATACATATCAATTATGAGTAATAATATAATTTGATTGATCCAAGTATATCCTAATATATTTCTAGACTCTTGTCATATTTTTTTACTATTTATTATGTACTGACCTGATATCATAATTGATTGAGACGATGAAGACATTACTGAAGAATTGCCTGGGATAAAGATAAAGGTGGAGAAGAATTGATCTCGGCTCAATTAAATATGAAACAAGAATGAATAAAGGATAATTTTTTTTGAATACTTTATAGTAAAGCTTAAATTTTTGAGTAAAATTAGGAATTTTTAGAAGAAATTTTCACGCAAAATTTTAAATATGCTAATGTGAATACTTTTGTCATATAAAATTATACTAGAATTATCATTAATCTTTAGTATTTTTTAGTTTAAATTTAACAATAATTAAGATATCTTGCAGTATTGTGAAGATTATGTGTTTTGTGCTAAGATTATACAAACCATCTTAATATTAAGTATTTGGTTATATATTTATTAACACATCAACAACATGTTATTGTATTTTTTTTCCAAACTTAACACTACATTTTATGACTAAGATAAACAAAATGGAGATGGATGATTTGATCCAATAAACAAATATGTTACATGAAGTTTGATATATACAAATTTAAAAAATTATGTTGTGTATGCAAGTATATAAAAGTATATTGATCCCAGTTTAACATGCACATCTATTTTACAAATTTTTTAAATATCTAAATAAAATTTTGAAAAATGTAATAAATTATGTTATAGATTTTAACTCAAATTGAATATGATTTATTTTATAGTAAAAAAATAAAAACAAATAATAAATAATTTTAATATTTAATCACCTGCATAGCATTGCATTGCATGTGCGAAAGAACTAGTAGAAAGTAATAAATGTCACTCTCACTTCGTAATTTTCTCCGATGATGGAAAATTATTGATGCTTTTGTGACTGCTAATATTTTTTGGGCCTTTAGAAAGTAATTGAGCCCACTTGTCAGACGCTCATCTATGGTATTTTGATTATGAGCAATTAGTAATTGTACTTAAGGGCCACAGAAAGTATGGACCAAGCCCAACAAAAGTACTTTAATTCTTTAGAGATAAAAGGCAAGGACCAACGAAATAGGGCACTCGTGCGTTCGTAATAGTTATTTAATCCTTCACATCTCACCAAATAAGAGAGAAAACAAGCAATAGTTTATAGGTTGAAGATATATCTTAA